TGCCTTAACAGATGGGGACATTGAGGAACAGAGGTTAAGTAACTGTCCCTCCCAGGTTTGCACTTCCCAAGTGAATTCCTGAAACTGCCCTGTAGCCATTTTATTGTACGATCTTCTGGCTACAGTTTCATTTCCTGTTCTTTTAAAGTCAGTGCTGGGAGAAGCAGTTGATGAGGTTAGATTATAATCTAATTCCTATCAACCTAACTAATAAACTAGATTTTTAGATTGGAAAAGGTACCAGTTTGTTTAGGCTCTTCATTTTCCAGATGAAGAAACTCAAGTCTAGAAGCCAGATGACTTTTCAGAGGTCTCTGTAGAGCGTGGCAGAGCCAACCACAACAGGCTCCAAGTTGAACACGTTCCACAGCGTCAGTATTTCTAAGTTTACCAGTAAATTTTAACATTTAGTTCTCTAGAATTGGATTTCAGAAACAACAATCATCCTAATTTATTTAAAACTATGTTATCACTAAAGCATCTAAAAGTATTAAAAATGTTGGCTCTGCTAGAATTTTTTTTGAGGTTATTATAATATGTGAATTTGAAATGAAAATATGTACGCAGACCTTAATGGGGTTTTCTTTTCTTTTTGCATAATTAGAATGTAACGTCATCTCCTCAGTATTCCACATTCCTGGAGCATATCATCCCTCGATTTCTTACATTTCTTCAAGATGGAGAAGTTCAGTTCCTTCAGGAGAAACCAGCCCAGGTAATCCGTTCAAAAATGTCAGTGAGAAACAAGGTGTCCTGCTGTAGGATTGCAAAGCACTTGGGAATTAAAGCAACTCAGAACATGTATGGTTCCCCTTAAAAATGAAAGAGGTTTTGTCAGATAAGGATAACTTTGTCCAAGGCCATTACTACCTCAGTTAAACTTCTTGGTTTTATTTCTATGTGACCATCTCTTTTGTAGTTGGAACTGTTCACATTTGCGGACCCGTGACACACCCGAGCTCTGTGTGTTAGTCACATCCGCATCTGTGCACGAGGGGGGCGATGGTTTAGTGCCCCTCCCATACCTGTTGCCCAGCTCTAATCTTACTGTGCTCAGTTCTTATAACTCTGGTCCACTTTGTTTTATCTGTGTCCCCTGTCCACTCTTTGCACCTCCTCCTCACCTTGATCATTTTAAACACTCCCATCATATTTTTTTCCTAGAAATATTTTCAGCACTGATCTCTTAAAAATAACTTTAAAAATTACCAAGTACCAATGAGAGTTAATTGCAAAGTAAAGCATTTTTTTGTGGTACCAGTTCAAGGTCTACCTATTTTTAGTTCTCAGCCTCATAGACAGAATCATGAAAGCTCAGCACAGCTTGGGATGTGATTAGTCCTTAGGCCCAAGGTACTTGGAGAGAACGTCACAGGAGCTAAACTGAGATTACAAAGTTCACTTTGTATTTTGCTCTTTATCTTAAATCCATCCCCCACGCACACATTGTTACCCGTCTGCTGGACAAAGATAAGGGGTGAAAGAGGGACAGTTTGGCTTACTTGGTTCGGTACACAGTTGTAGAAATAATGAAAGTACTGGTTTGTAGTACGTGCTTTGGATTACATTTAAATAATTTACAAGGCTGTTTCTAAAATGGGCTCCATCATGTAGTCGGGTGGTCACCAGTGCTGGGCGTAGCTGTGTGACGCTTGTGGAATGGGAAAGAATTACCTTGGAACTCTTGGAAGGACTTGATATTAACATTTTTATTTCTCTTCAACAGCAACTGCGAAAGCTAGTTCTTGAAATAATTCATAGAATACCAACGAATGAACATCTTCGTCCTCATACGAAAAATGTTTTGTCTGTGATGTTTCGCTTTCTGGAGGTAACTTTTGAGAATTCTTGTTATTTAGCCACATTTAAAACTTTGAATGATTTTCTTACTGTAAAATCCAGGGTTATACAGCCATTACCCTCTCACTGAAGTTCTGGCTCCCATGAGTAAAAATTTTCTTGATGTCCATTTTCTCCCATTTTGCTGACCAATTACTAAGAAAGGTTAAATGAACATCATGTTTTTTGAGTCACTGGGAAAGTGACCAGACACAGTGGGAACCTTTGAAAGTGTGTCTGGTGGCGGTCGACAGAGCACAGAGTTCACTGGCTCTGTGCGTTTG